TAAAGAAATATAATATAAAAACACATTGTTATTGTGAAAACTTATTCGGTCTTCGTAAAGTGTATTATTATATCATTATTTAATATATCATCAAAGATTAATCTTTAATATTACATTATATTTATACTTTAATATTACATTATATTTTAACATTGGCTTAACATTAAATAAACATGATATATTTATCTTAATTAACACATATTTGTTATTAATTGAAATCAAAAGTTTTCCATTATTTCTCATTGTTTCACATATAAATATACATATGTGTGTATATAATTACGATAAATATATAAGTAGATAAACAATCTTTTTACTGAAATATATTTATTTTTAAAAAATTTTTTTAAATTAAAAAATTCAATACGTACCAAAACAATCTCACCAGCCACTTCCTTTTCATATAATCCGAAGATTGAGTTGAATACGCTTTGGCATATGTAGTAGAAAATTTGCAACGTAAGCCATACAAAGTATATATAAATTTGTACGATACTGATTATACACATCATAAACTGAAAAGTTATTAATTTTTTTATATGAATATCGCGCGAGTATTAACTACTTAACATATACTTACAGATAATAAATAAATTAAAATTAAAGCTGTAAATTTTAAAAAGTGAAAGAAGACTCATTGAAAGGACAAAATATTTCACATTGTCTTGAAGAAAGCTGATGTTTCGGAATATATTTGATTTGGAATATATAATTTTGTTATTTGTAAGTGAAAAAGGTAAAATTCTACGCGTTGTTAAGTGTATCAAGAATACGTGATACTGATGATAACAAATATTTTAAGAATTTGGTGTGTCAATACTTAACAGATGACCTTAGCGGTTGTGTTATTGATACATTGTGTGAGGTACATTGTGTCGATATGTACGTTAAATTCTTAAAATATAGTTTTAAACGTGTGTTAACGTAGTAACATTTTTTTTACAAAACTGATTCTTATTTTTCGCACATATCCTATATTCCATATTTTTCATATCTTATATCTTTTATATTCTAAAAATTTGTGTTAGTATTATTAAATTGATTATCAATTTAATTATGTAATTGTATTATTTTAGTTTTAGTTTAAGATTTCGTTTCAAGACAGATAGTAACGGCGCGTGGTTTGTTAAGGCGAAGAAAGGCACATAAATTATTCATGCGAATAATATTATTAAGTACAAAAAATCTAGCCCAACCGTATAAGGCATATTTCTATCTATTTGTGGTATTCACAGATCGGTCGAGTTCATCTATATTGTTTATTTTGCAACTTCCGGCTTCAAAATGCGGATAGAATGCTTTTTCGTTTAGCTGCAAAAATTTTTAGAGAATATTATATTAATAGTCGTTTATATTAGCATTCATACCTAGTATAAGTACAAATAGATTGACGTGACGCATAAGTAACATGGTACATAACGTGAAATCGATTTTCTTTCTAACAGCTATTTGCAAGAACAGCAAAGAAAACTTAACGTAAAATTTAAGTGGAGTTTAGCAATATTTCTTTGTTATGTTAATTTTATAATATAATAATATAATAATATTTAAGATATAAAATCCAGTTTTTTTTGTATTTGCAAATCATAAAAAAATATAATTGTATTTTATAATTTTCGGTACGAGGTTTTCCAATATTTTTGTATTTTAAATATACAAACATATGAATATACAAACACTTAATATTTTAAATATGGTACAAGTTGATAATTAGGAAGTTGCTGAAAATAAATAGCTCTTGTTTTATAATAAATTGATGAAAGAATGTAATAAAGTAAGCAACAATTAAAGAAGAAAAACATAGTATTATTCCGTGGTAGAATAATATACAATAAAAAAATATACACGAACCTTGTAGAGAAATAAATAAACATAAGAAGAAATGTAAAGTAGGTTGGTCGCATGATTCAATGGCATACGTTCAGATATTATCAGCACGAACAATCATTTCCATGAGAGATATTTATTCGGAATTCTTCGAAGGCACAATATATAGTTATTGCCAAATATAATGTTATAGAAAATGTAATAATTTTCAAAAGTATCTTGATAACTAAGCAAGTTCAGAGAATCGCCATTTCGAAAACAAATTTATATTACTAATTGTAAGATATAAAATTAGCTAAATTGTTGGTTCTTATTTATAATATTTATTTTTACAAGTTTGTGTATGTATATTTTACACTACTTTTTTTTAGATATATTAACAGAAATAGAAGATACAAGTAGACTCGACCGATATGTGAATAATACAAGTAGACAGAAATATATAACCCTTATACGGTTGGACTGGATCTCTTTTATTCCTAATAATAATATTATTCACGTGAATTTATGTACATATTTCTTCGCCTTAGCAAGTTACGCACGGTTACTATCGCCACTACTATTGGCCATGAAACGCAATCTTTTAAACTAAAGCTAGAATAATACAATTATATAATTAAATTAATAATCAATTTAGTAATATCAATATTACTACAAATCTAAAAAAGAAATAACAAATTTCTTCTTCAATATATAGTGTTAATGCATTTTATTTTATCCATTCTCTCATTATAACACTCCGAGAAATAACAGCTGTTTGATTTCACTTTCCGACTTAACGACTTTCCAATGATTGTCTTACTTCTTAAATATATAAATGTATAAATATATTTCTAGAAATGTGAGTGTAAGACTGACCATTTTATGAAGAAAAATTGTCCGAACGAGCTAATGTTTGAGCTTTTTGTAATCACTTCAACTATGCCTTTCTACACTGTTGCGTATGAAACTGTATTATAAGTAGGACATGTTTCCTCGCACCAACGAAAGCGAGAACTGACGAACACGCTTACGAACACGTCGACTATATACCTGTCTGATTACAAACATTCTGCACGCCGATCGATCGGCTGGTTAACGGCTGTCCTTTTATAGTACGTTTATTACATTTTAAATATGTGGATATTATTTCTCTTCTCCAGTCGGTAGATCAGTATCTCTAAATAATTTATGTATCTCTAAATAAAAGTGAATGTTACTTGTGCTAAAATGTATTTTGGCGGACATATAGAAATAGATGTTGGGCCTTGTGGAATCTTAAACTTAATCTCAAGATTGTATTTATCAAGTCTCTATAACGTGCTTTTATAAATCAGAGAATTATTTGGGTTTTTTGTTCGTTCGAATTTGAATTTCTGATTGAAATCGAATGTTCAGAGAATAGCAACTGACTTATGAAGATTAAAGATATTGATTTTTATTTTCTATGTATTTTCTATTCCACTTACCTTGCAATTAATAGCAAAAATGCAAGACATATTACATATGCTATAACATATTTTGTAACTGAAGACGATCTCAATTTTAAACAAATTTTATTCAAAATGTCGTAAGTGAGAGCTTAAATAAAAAAATGAGAAATAGTGAAACGAATTAAAAGTATTTATTAAAATTCAAGGTTGATAATAATAAATAATAATAAAGAAAAAAAATGCGCATATATTATATTTGATACAATAATACTTTTATATAAGTACATAATAATAATTTTCTCGGGAACAAAACTTTGTACAATAAATTTTTATTCAATATTTTTAAAATAAAAATTACAATAATCACAACATAACGTAGATTAAAATAAACATTTTTTTAATTTTTAATATATTCCTCAGCGATGTTGTTGCTAGGTAAGCTAGGTTGTTTACCAAATCCTAGGAAAGACATTTTGACATCAACATATTCAAAGGAATTTAACCTTTTTAAAGCAATCAAATTTAACAGCCTGTCTTTCGACACATGTATATTCAAGGATTCCAGGACCTACACAAGCGACGTATAAAAGCAACGTACAAATCATGGATATATAAAGAGAATATATTTAAATTAAAATGTTATATTTTTAAATTAAAAAGTTTTTTATATTATTCTGTGTTACGTATTGTAATTTTTATTTTACCAGTCCCAGAACTTTTTTATTAGTCTGACCTTGTATTCTTGCTATATAGGTAAGAAAAGATAAGACAGATAAAAACATTTGGTAATTTTAAAGTTTTTTACGTATTTTTCTACAGTTTATCTTTAACGATTTTTTAATTAAACTATATCTAACATGTAAAGAACCTTTTTTTAAATAATCTAAATTTATTTTTTAAATTATTTTTAATTTATGTCTTAAATTCTAAAATTGTGATGACAATATTAAATTATGTCATCAGAATTATTATATTTCAAACATACAAACATTATACTAACAATTATTATTTAGATAATTATTTTTATGCAGAAAATTACTGCAGCAAGAAAAGAAAAGAATGGACGTACCTTCTAATATAATAATAAACTATATATAATATATCATAAAATTTATAAATTTTACAGATATTTTTAATCTTCTGGATAAACTCCTGTATCGAAGAAGACTAGTATGCATCTTAATGCTTCGTCTGGTAAATGTCTGAAATAAAAATTATAATTTTATTACAGACATATAGAAAGGAGAGAGAAATAGTGATCACAATACAACAGTATTTATATTATTAACATATTTATAGTGAATTGTCTACCGGCTTATTTTGTCGTATATTTGAAAATATATATCTTGAGTGTATTATAATTTACGTACCTTAATATCGTAGATAAGGATAGCCAATGTGAAGGTATACTTTTGTTTTTGTAATTTCGTCTTTGCGCATCAATTATTGACGAAGCCACGTCTTGCGGTAAAAGTCCTCCCATTAATCGTGGGAATCTATATGGGTGAATAAAATTGAATCACTTGCTATTAATAAATGCCATAAATATCTTATTAATTAAATAATATTGTTGATGTATAAAAAGATCTATATAATTAACAAAAGATATTATACTATTGAAATAAAAATTTGATTCCGTCCAATATGGCAGTGCATAAAAGGAATTAACTGCGTGCGTGATATTGCAAGACATTTATTACAATAGTGTATTGTTGTAAATTTACCTAATTTTAGGCTTTTTACTCAGTCCAGTAAGTACGAGAGCCGGATAAACAGTAGTGAATTTAACAGAGGATTTTCCGTTACTTAATTCATTTAATTCTTCAGACATAGCTTCCATTATTGCTGTAAATCAATATGTTAGAAAAGCGTATTTTATAATTACATTTACATTTTTGGAATATTGGCATGGGTATTATTAAAATTATGTGTAATATATATATGACATATGTATTATATAATATAATTATGTACTGCGTTCCAAAATGCAATACCCAAACTGAGAGGGTTAACAGAGAGGGGCAAGGGAAGTCAATTTCATTCACAAATCTCTTTGTTAACCCTTTAAGTTTAAGTATTGAATTTTGGAACACTGTATATGTATTATGATATATATATATATATATATATATAAGCTGAATAAATGTGTGTACGCGCGAGCGCGCGTTTAAATTATAATGAATATTTTTTTATTTTATTCATATAATTTATATTCGTTTATATAATATTATATTATTCGTATAATATTATATAATCGCTGAATGCGAAATATATTACCTTTGACTGCGAATTTTGTAGGACAGTAAACCGTTCCATAAGGAGCGCCAACAAGTCCTGCTACTGATGAAAGTGCTACAATATGACCGTAATTCTTTTTGATCATACTTGGTAAGAATGCTTTCAATGTCTGGAAATAATATCCTTTTGTAAACAGCGGTTTGCAAAAGCTTAATTATATTGGTCCAAATCATACAGTGCATTTCAATTATACGAGCAACAAGCTTATATATACATATATTTGTTTTAAGAAATGATAGCAATTGCATTAATGATTATTTTTTACGTCTTGTAGTTTTCGCGTGTGTCTCAGAGAGAGGTACATTACTTGCCCAATAATGCGCTGTCACATTGACGTCTATAACTCGTTTGATTTCATCGAGACTGTGATTCAAGAATGATTTAACAAACGCTATACCAGCATTGTTGACCAGGATAGTAACGTCACCTACTTCTTTTTTTACTTTCTCGGCTACCCGAAAGACCTCTTCCCTATCTGCTACGTCACATCTAAAACGCGATCAAATTTTAATCAGTATATTGATAATTTAATAAGGCACTCCCACGTCTTCGTACACGTGTAAATTCTATTTGAGTAATTTTTTCATTCTAGCCTTTTATTAAAAGAAGTGCATCAACTTACCGATACGCATATACAGAGTTTTTTCCCATGTTTTTAATATCATTCATTGTCTCATTGTTGGTTTCTTCATTAATATCCCAACATACTACTGTTGCTCCTAACGATGCATACTTAATCGCTAATTCTTTTCCGATGCCATGACCTGCGCCTGTTACCTGTAATAATACATAATATGAAATATTACAAATTACAATTTACAAATTACATTCCACAAATTTTTGAAGTTTAAAATGACATTGAGATATTAGATATATTTTTTAAAATAAGTAATGCCTATGCTTGTGCTAAAAAGAAATATCAAATGACCGTTTAATAGAATATGAAAATAAATGTCATTATCAAATGAAGAATCACATTCAGAATCTAAAATGCAAATCTTTGCATTCTAGTTGCTTACCCAAGGAAATCACATAAGTCAAGATGTCAAAACATCTTTCAAAAGTCATGTTTTACACACACTCACACAGATATATAATATATATATATATATATATATATATATATATATATATATATAATATTTTTTTATATAATTGTGCATATATATTAAAATTTGTATACGTACCAAAACGATTTCACCGGCTACGCTCTTTTTCTTATTTGGCACGACCAATTTGTATACACCTTTGCAAATATAATATAGAACTTTCAAGATAAGCATAAATATCTCCGCTAGAAGGAGCAAGATATTATGTATTTTTATCATGGTTGCCTGAAAAATTAATAACTTATAAAATTATCGAATACTGGTTGATATGTTACATATATCGTATACATACGCTCTATACAGGGTGTTATTTGAAAAGTTTTTATCTCAATATCTTCACTTAAAACTCTACAACTTTTATATTTAACATTTTTTCATACAACGCATACTGTAGAAGATATTGCCATGAGGCAAAAATTTTTCAAATAAACACTTTATATGTATATATAATATATATACGGGACATGTAATTTTTGTGTAATTATATGGTTATACAGGATGTATCTGAATGGTCTGTACAAACTTTGAGAATAAGTTCCAGAAACACATTTACAAGCAGAAAACGTCCCATGAACATGGGGTCGGAAACGCTTGCTTCTGGAGTTACGACGCGACGGTACGAAGTTTTCCTGCAATGACTGGAAAAATTATCACGTCAAATCGCATAGGACTTACAAACTGTATTCACTTACTTCAAGGAAGTTTGCGCACGTCACCGCACTGACTGATGAGGAATTCAGAAAAAAATGCTAAGCGGGTAAATAAGTAAACATGTACGCAGACTTCCTTGGAATCTATAACGGAGGACATTGCGAGCATTTACTGTAGCAAGTGTCCTGTTATGTACGTGGTAAAACCGAGGAAATAAATAAACACAGTTTGTAACTCCTGTGCGATTTAACGTCATAATTTCTCCAACTATTGCAGGAAAATTTCGAACCGTCGTAACTCCAAAAGCAAGTGTTTTTGACTCCATGAAACATATTCTGCTTGTTTAGATCCCTAGAACTTATTCCCAAAGTTTGTACAGATACACCCATTCAGATACACCCTGTATATATTTTTAAATACTGTTTATATTAACATTGCACGAAAAATAATATTACAGAAAACGTAAATGTATTGTATAATGTAATATAAAATATTGTTACGTTCGTACTGAGACTTTAGAAGCAAGCCGGAGAAGTTACGAAACGTGCACCTTTAGCAACAAGTTGAAGTTGATAAACTGTCGTCTTGATGTATAAGTTGGGTTATTAAACCGAATACACGTTTGGGCTGAATCATAATTTTTTGGAGAAAGTAGTTTTTTAGTTGTTGTCCTTCATTTTCGTGAATTCGAGAGTGCGTAAATGCGGCGCGAGCATGAGTGGCAGTGTGCGGAGCGCGAGTTAGTGCCAAGCGTAACAATATATTGTATTTTATATAATGTATTATTTATGTATAAAGCAAGAAAAATGATTAAAATCTAGTAAAGATTATTAATTCTTAACTTTTATATGTTAAAACTTCTTCTAGAGAAGAACCTTTAGAAGTTTTTTCATGACTTTTTATTATTTTTACTTATAACTTTCATATATGTGTTAACGTATACTATGAAAAATAAGCGACCTTCATAGAGCCTGAAAATAAGCTTCCTATCCGGTAGGTTGATAAAAATGAAAAAATTGCATAAAATATTTACATGATCGTAAATTAAAAAAAATATATTACTTAATTTTAAATTAGAAATATGGAAATACCTTTTGCAACACACAGAGGCATATCTCACTCACGACACATAAACTTTGATCTTCGTATATTTTTTTGAACACACTACACATTGACCATTCTCACTTGTTTTCCTTGTTTTCCCGAAATTACGAAACTCAGCGACCCAAAAAAACCCTAAATGAGATTTTAGCGCATAAATAGTTTAAAGTTTAAAAATAGGCTTTCCCCCCTATCCTCTAAATGTTAATCAAATTTAAGAGAAAGAGAGAGAGAAAACTTATTTGATATATTTAAATGTAAAAATATTTTCAAAGAAAAGTGTAAATTTTCGAATAATTACGTATGTGTGAGAACAGTTTTCTTATGGTTTTTTTTCTAAAGAAGTACTATGTTTTTGTCTCTTTTAAAAAGATAGTTTTACATTTGTAATTTTTATCTGATATAAAAAACCAAATCTGTTACAGATTGTGTTAATATTTGTTACAAAGAGATAAAATTCGATTTACTTACTTGATAATTGCTATCCATAATTAACAGCGACACGTTCAACTCCTATATTCTGCTCTAAAGTAGAATGACCGAATGTGATTAAATACAAGCCTTATAAAGCTCTTGCTTACAAGAGATTTGTTTCTCTGAATATTAAGTGTATTATATCAAGTACGTGCGTAAAAAAGTTGAATAACTGAATAACCTTAACCTTTCGATTAGAGAACGAATAACAATTTTTGTAATACAATTTTTTTGAAGTGTTTGTGACACGTTCGTCTTTCCAAAATATTATTGATGAAGAATCTCTTCCCTATCCTGTTTATCTTTAAACCAAAAATAAGTCTGACGTTTGGAGGAATCAGAAAAATATACTTATATCATTGTTATGTAAACTTTTATTTTGTTACAATGCAATTGTAGGATGAATTAGTAAACATCGCATGAAAAAATGTAATATTTCATAATACCTGTAATGTCAATTGTATGTTATAATTCATTTGATATAGCAATCATGAAGCCACCTTATATACTACCGCATTCCAAAATATAATAGTCATATGTCCTGTACCTGTATTGCATAAAATCAATAATGTATAATTAAAATTTGCTTAAAATCTCGCTTACACTTGGCGCAAGACACTGCTGTGTCTTTTGATATTAACTATAATTTATATATAATGTAATTAATACAAAATTTAATATTAATTACATTATTAATAAATAATAAATTATTATTCTCAAGTTACATGGTAAGGTATACAATTAAACGCTAACGTATTTCAAGATTTATTATTTACACATATGTGTGCCGATCTCCGCAAACAGAGACAGATCATTTAGTAATGCCATACTGTTAATTTTATTTTTTAATAAGAGCTAGAGTTTAATGATAATTAAGATATTTTGATTTATCGTACTGGTAAAAAATATTGCATTATCTTCAAAAATATAGAAAACGCGAGTAAATCATTAAAAGTAAAGACTTTTTATTCGACCTAATTGATTATCTTTATAATCGTCACGACAATACAGCCATGAATTTTAATCTTTATACTAATATAAGCATTCTATTTAAAAAATGTATAAGCATCTCATTTTAAATCTCTGTAAAGAATTTATTGTGAAAAATACTACCTCGATCAGGATTCGAACCTGGCTCTTCCTACATTCATGTCGAAATAAAAGTACTTATTTCGGTTAAGTTATTTGTTTTTTTATCTTCAAAGCATTCTTCAAAGCATAAAATAACAGAACTAAATAATAGTACTAAAATAACATTTGATAATAATGTACATATTTTTTTTTATGAAAGTAATGACGTCTCTGTTCCCATAAGTGATGCAATACCAGTATTGTACGATAAAAAGAATGTCTCGTAATCATTTTTTTTATTATCCAATAATGACATGCATCGTTTTTTTTCTTAATTATAAATTGCTTCTCTAACAAATTTTTTTTCTGTTGTGCAGATATAATTGTATAAATTAAATTAACTGCATGTAATGCATGTAATGCGCATGCATTCTTATATAAGATGGTCGATAGTGCATATAAATTAGAACTCGAGATAATGGATATCCTTCCAGCCATTTCTATCTTTGATGAAGCGACCTGCCTCAAGGCAAGGTTACGTAGTCATATACAGGTTGTCTGATAATAATAGGTAAGTGTGACACTTGCAGAAAGTAGGCAGAGAGGGTTAAATTGAATAGAAAAGTCCTGCGCCGTTTAGCGATTATAACAATAAATAATGATTTGTTAATTGATAAAGATGTGCAAATCAACGTGCGTACTGTTTATTTCTTAAATTTTTTATGTTGTTATGTATGTGACCATTTATTTTATATACCTATATATAAATTATATATATAAATTATAAGTCTATTAACATAAAGTTTGTTTAATGATTAATTGAAGATTATATGTATATTTTCATATATATTTTATTATTACTAAAACAAAATGATAAGCGTTTTTCTTATCTTTTCATATTTTTCTTATAGCAATCACTCAAAGCTAAAAAATGTGAACATATTATTATAAAAATAAAAATAAATACGTTTATTTTTTCTGTTTATATTAATATCTATGTATATGTGTATGTGTGTGTGGCTGTAGCGACAAATAAACATTTATTCAATTACTTAGCAGTTTCAATCTTTTATTATTTGTATTATTTATTTTTAAAATAAAATTCTAATTCGTAAAATTTAATTGAGCAGAAAATTTAATGAACAACACATACTGTATTTACAAACGTATGAATCCGAATCTCGCGATATAGTATAACTATATTATAATCAATTCACTTCTTACATCAAAGTCGCAACTTTCGTTAGTTTCGTTGAATAAATTTCTTTATGTTATGCATATAATTGATATCCATAATTCTCTATTCTCTTTTCACCATTCTTTTTATAACTGTGCGCGTTAGATTGAAGTTTACTGATTAAAGTGATACCAAATCGTCTTCTCAAAGACTTATATTATTGATAAATTCCCAGGTAACAAGCTGATGTTATTTGTCGTCATTTTAATGTAAAAATGACGTTTATGATTTCAAAATAACGAAAATAAGCTTGCTACCTGGGAGGGGGGGTTGCGTTATATGCGTATTGTATATGCTATTTATAACATAATTTATAGGTAATTATATATGTATAAGACAATAGTTACATTATTAAACGACCACTATACACAACTTATGCTTTTTCTCGTAATAAACGCAAATATTAATAATATATTGAATAACAATATCATATAATAGAACAATAGCGGGGTTTATCATTACAGCACGGTAAATACATTACACCAATTTTACTTGTCAAAACATAACAAAACGTTATTGTTAGCGCGACTGATTTACATACTGTGCTGATGCTACTAGGAAACAATGTGGCGTTGACGATGATTTCTTTCAATATTATACAAAAGATTTATTTACTATTTATGTCATATGATACTTATTGCTATCAGTATAAAACATCTACATTTGCGCGTTTTCATGCATCAGTTCTTGATAATGATTAATTAGTTATTATTAAATAATAAAAAATTATTTTTATATTTAGAGTAACCGAGTAGAGCCTCTGAATTTCAGGGCGAAAGATGTCTTATTTTAAAATTTGGCAATCCTGGTATTTACTTGTATGATGTCTTATAAATAATGCAATAGCATACTGGACAGTCATATAAAAAAAAAAGTTTATTCACATATTTGTTTCGAAATCAGAGATGTTTTTTTTGCAGTTGTTAGCTATCCGCTTCGACACCGCTGTCAAAAAAGTCTACCAAGCTGCGTGCTGCTTCATCGGGAAAAAGTCTGAAATTTAAAATGTTTATTTGCTATTACTTTTCTCTTATTTCTGTTTATCTAATTTTTCAGAAACCTGTCAGAGGTCAATGAAAACAGAAATTTTTCTTCATTATTACAAGAAAATAAATTGACGTATTAGTAGGTGTGTCCCCGAGTTTGCTGAATAATATATTTATTTACTATCGTTTATTATTATTTACTGTGCTGAACGTCATCCATGATAATTGTCGCGTATCTGTTTAAAATATTAGTTATTTGTAGTTCTCTTGTCTCATTAATATTATTAAGGAGATTGGTTGCCGTCACGTTATGAGGTACAGGCGGCGGGAAAAAGCTTATAGATGTGTTTTTCGTTGCGTAAAATAAACGAGTTTTAGCAAATGAATATGTGGAATGCGTTTAATTAGCTGTTTCTTAAAGATTTAAATTGTACAAACATTATTTGTACAATTAAAACCCAGATACGTTATTATCCACGTTGAAATGTGGCAATATCGTGTTATATTTTTACAATTTCTTATATAAGATAACTATGTAGACTGTAGACAAATCATTTCAATTTTTGTAAAAATTCTTCCTAAATATGTAAAGAATTATTTGCACCTATTTTCATTAAATTCTTATCATTTTTAATATGCTTTCGAGAGTTACACTACAGGTGTTGTAACATTTTTGCTATGTTGCCCGTGTATAAGAGAGAGAGAGATAAGAGTATAAGAGTATAACTTCAATAATAATTAATTACTCGACAACCATGCAGACAATTGTCTTCAACTTTGGCATGGACGACAGATTCCTATAGACGAATATCTTCCATAAATATGAACTAATTCTTATCATATTGATTTGAGCAACCAACCTCCTTAAAATTAAAAAATGCCAAAATATCCTTTTCATATATTTTCTCCAAAATTCGTATTTTTATACATTTATACGTCTAGTTTGGATAATTTGGCGATTTATTTACCTTATTATCGCGCTTAGTGACAACCAGAGTGGAGGCACAGTTTTTTCGCGGTAGTTGCGCCTCTGCGCAAGAATTATTTGTGAGGCTGCTTGCCCCGGTGAAACCAACGGCATGGTATTCGGGAACCTGTTGAAATTAAAATATTTATAAGATGGTATTATTGTGCGAAAGAATGTAACATTTTTAGGTATTTCGTAATTTTATTCGATTCGTCATAAAGTCATGTTTAATGTAAGGCTTAAAATGTAAAACGCCCAATAAAATTTTATTTTAAAACGTGTTTCTCTAAACAGCTCACCTCGCATCCAAAAATCTAATCTGCATGTAAAAAATCGTAAACAATTAACGACGTATAATTAGTTAGGTATATTTACATACATCTGTTATTGTGCCTTATAAACACGTCCATCAACATGTCCGAGAATGGACAGGTGTAATTACAAATTTAATTAGTATTTTTACGTAATAATAATTACGTTATAATAGCACATACTTTGCACCAATCAAATGACGCAGCATTATACATTGCATAAATGTTGTTTATACCATTTTATCGTGTACTTACCTTACTTTCGGCTTCTTGCAAAGTCCAGTGTCCACCATATACGGATAAATGGTAGTGAATTTGATTAAGGATTTTCCTTTGCTGGATACTCGTAGTTCCTCGCTAATCGATTCCATAAGTCCTGCAATATTTGCGCCAATTAGTTGAGAATGAAACGCTTCTTTGCTCGCGCTTAAAAGAGCAACGTTGAAATCGAGTTAAATACAGACTTACCTCTGACTGCAAATTTCGAAGCGCAGTAGGGAACTAAATTTGGAATGCCTCCGATTCCAGCCAGTGACGAAAGCGCAACTACGTGGCCGTGATTTTTTTCGATCATGCTTGGTAGAAATGCTTGTAGCATCTGGAAAATAGTAGAAACAATAGAATCCAAATATAAAAGTGGGTAGTAATATAATCATAGTAGATAGCAATATATAATAATCTGTAATTTAAAAAACAAACATTATCATATACATGCTGTATTCGAAATAATAACGATATTAGATCATTTTGGATTATGTCCAGATAACATTAGCCCTTTAACTTACCCAGAAATGAGCCAGCACGTTAATGTCGAAGATCCGTCTAATTTCGTCCGTCGTGTGATCGAGTAATGCGTGACAAGGCATTATACCAGCATTGTTAACTAAAATAGTGACGTCACCGACTTCCTTCTTGACTCTTTCGGCTACGCTGAGGACGTTCTCTCTTTTCGACACGTCACATCTGTGAAACAAGATAAAATCATTTCTGAACTTATCTCGGTTGCCTTTAGATCGGTGGTTGCACTACCGCATTTCTCTCAGTTTTATTGCATTTTGTAAATGACACAAACGTACTGATATGCATATGCCGCGGTTGCTCCAGTTTTCTTTATCTCGTTCACCGTCTCTTCGTTCGATTCCTGATTTACGTCCCAGCAGACCACCGTTGCGCCCAGCGATGCATAACGAAGAGCCAACTCTTTTCCAATGCCATGACCAGTGCCTGTTATCTATAAAATGTAATAAATTATATAGTTTAGAATACTATAGAATTATCGTGTAGTTTTAGCATCTCTCTTTCGCAAATTACTTTATTGAGCTCTTTCCAGATGTGAAGTTAATGTTGAATAATTTACTTAAATAACTTAATATACAAGTAAATGTAAATTGTTTTTTATGCTTATGATTTTTTTTAAATTGTCTCTGCATCAAAGATTTATGAACTATTTACAAATCAATTTTTTATGACAAGTTTAATAAAGATCGAAAATCACGTTATAATTATATCTTAATTAATTATTCACATTATGAAAAAATTATCTTTTTTTTAAATTGTAGGTAGTTATAATTGTTCAATATTGGATATTTAATCGTTTGTATAGGTTCAATCAATGATCAATAGTACCGTTACCCTTTGCATGTGTAAAAGCACAAACTATCTTATTTACGTTACGATAATTTACAATTTTATCCTAATTGGTTTCTGAATTGAACAAAATAAATAAATAAAATTGTCAAATTGAAAATTGAATAAAATCATTGCGGTTTCTATAGTAAATAGGAAAAATAATTGTCTAATATACCATAATCAAAATATGTTTCTTTTTTAACGTAAAATTTTATTCCTACTATTTATTTACTTCATTTTTAATAATAAATTTAACGTGAAAAATAAATCCTGCGTAATACGTAAAAATTACGTAAAAACGCAGCGTTACAGCGTCAACAAAGTACACTTACAACATGCATCAATAGTTCAAATTAGATACATACCAAAACGATCTCACCGGCCACGCTTTTTTCTTCTGATGGAACGAAAAATCTATACACGCTCTCGCAAATGTAATATAGGATCTTCAAAATAAGTAGCAAAACGTCCGCAAGGACCAACGCGCCGTTATACGCTTTTACCATGACTGCTTGATATTCTGGCCTATAAAATTAATAAAATTCTTGTTTGACTGCAGAAAAATCAGATGACGGAATTCATTCATACATTTATTTATTCATTAACTGACAAATTTGTTTTTAGCAAAAAAAAATATTTTTCTAGTAAAGTAAAAATAAAAAGAATAGATCACGGTATTGTAACCAGTTTAAACTCGATACTATTCTTTTACGCATTTTCCTCAACATTTGCTTAATATCGTGTGGTTAATCATTATACAATAATTACTGCTAAAATTTCCCATGAAACTGCATCAGCTTTGAATACAATACAAGTAGCTAAGGCGCAATAGGATATAATTACTTAATCCATATAATTATCTCAATGGTTTTTTATTAATGTAAAAAATGTGATATAATAGAAATAGATTAGCTAATAATTTTTCTTAAGAACTATAGTAATTTAGAATAATTTAATTTAGAGTAATCTAAAGAACAAGAAAAAAGAAATATCAATAGCACAGAATCATATTAAGTATAAAAAATATTTTGTTTTATTTTTATGCTTTGCTTATATAACATTTTTCTTTCAGTTTCATTATAATATTGTTAAAAAACTTTTTGTTTTCTGTCAATGTGAATATTGACGTGAAATAATTTCCTTAAATGATTTGTTCAATTTTCTTATACATTTATGATATTTCGATTAGCAATCAAGCAGAACTCAGTTCGTCAAAATACTGTCGTACATCTGGCATTGCGTTACATAATGCTTGTTGATCTCCACGATATCAAGCTCATACGTTAACTACAACAATGAGTCGCGTGAGTTATTCAAGCATTACATGAATAGAACTCTGGCGTATAATTGTTTTGAAATACTGTTTTTTTTTTTACGCGTTAGTTCTTTCAAAACTCTACGACTTGAAAGGATGGCAATGTATGTTTTTGTGATTCACACAAAACACGTAAATATGACACTGTCACTCCAAAGTAATTTGAAAATTGCCTATGTAAATAATGCATTAATTTTGGTACCAGCTAATTTCTTATAAAAGAACACGTTACTGAATAAGCAGATGATTTTTAAACATTTTTGCGAAAAAGAAAAACAGTGTCAAGATATTAAAACTAACTTACGCTTCTCATTGTGGAGATATTAAAATTAACTAGAAACAATTGCATTTTTATTAGAGTAATCGTAAAGCATTATTATATTAGATGCGAAGAGAGAAAACGATTAATCCTTTCCTACCGCATTCTTCATACCAAGTTGTGCATATTCAACCTTCTGTCTAACGTTGGAAGGAATTGGGTTACGGCAGCTACTATGTGACAAATAGTACTGATTACGTGACACGTTGTACGCGATAGACGAGCGCACGATATGAATGAGATCATTCTTCTTCAGTTACATCGATAGTTGCAAGCATAAGTTAATTCCAATTAATTCTAGGCTCGATCCTTCCTCTCAACTTTTTTCAATCATGAATATTTATCATTTTCCGAATTATACGTAATATTTACATAGTATGTAAAAAAGAAACAAAAGATAAGTTTATCTTTATATAATTTTTAATTAGATAAATAAATTTAATAGATACATTTTTTTTATGTAGCTATTATTTAAGAAGATACACGCGTTTAGATTTTTTGTTAATTCCGGTAAATTTGCACAGTAAAATAACTGTTTGCATTACAAAATGTTTGCAAATTATCTATGTTAATACTCAATCACATCCATTCTTGTTTCAAAGTTCGATGATATAAGTTGCTTGTTTATACATGTATGATTATCAATGTATATACTTCAATCAAGGTCAAATAATCAAATCTGTCATCAATCAAGATCACGTTTTTTCAGACTGACTGCGGAAATATGGAAAAACGGATTAATCGCACGTTTTAAAATGCAAGGTCATACGACGGCGCAACACGTTTAAGAGATGTGAAAATGGCAATCTTTTAAACCTGACAGAAATATATTTAACGAACGTGTTTTTCAATCATTCGGCAAGATTAGATAAATAAGACTATCCTCCTGCCTACCAGGTCAAGCGTTTTGTATGTGATTATTTTCTTACGTGTATTTTCTTGATTTCCGTTATAAAAAACTAAAAATATATACTCGTGTAAAAATACAGATAACTGAGGGAGTTAATATATCAAACAAATATTTATATAGGTTTTTAATTTTCCAAACACTTGAGCACGCAGTGCTTTAACTTTTGCAGTAAATATAAATCATGCTTTCCTCACAAGAAAGCTATTTATGTCATATCTTGTTTGTCGTGTAATGATAATAATTTATCAATAATTGCAAAGACAATTCGTCATGAAGTAGTGAACTGCAAAGAATGATACGCAAGTACGCATGCACTTACGAATAATAAATTTTATATCTCTGGCCTACGATATATTGCATTCTTCGTAATGCGAAAAGAAATTGTTTCTTTGGCTAATCTTCAGACGATCACATCAGTTATTTATTTCCCTCCAGAAATAAATAACTGATGTGTGTTTATAAACTTGTTGAACATATATCGAACAAATGTCGTTACCAGAGCAGCATGAATACTTCAATTTGATCAGAACTTAAATCGAAAGATTTCTTCTTACTATCCTAATGCTTTTTAGTTCGTTGGTTTCGCGAATACCACCAGCTGTGTGTGTGTGTGTGTGTGTGTGTGTGTTTGCTTGGATTATTTAAGAACGAGATTATTTGGCAATAAAAACACATTTCTTTCTGCCTTTTTCTCCTTTTTCTTCTTTTTTCAGTCTCTCTCTCTCTCTCTCTCTCTTTTTGTTTCTCTTTTTTTTGCTATATATCTGTCCATCTTCAAAAAGCAGTCAAACTACTTTTTAGTAGATGTTTTTCTGTTTATTTATTTATTATCAGATCATTCCAATACTAAATTTTCTAATACAATTATAATTAAGTTCTAAATATCGAAACAGAAATTCTGTACGATTAAATATAAAAGAGAATTATTTTTTATAATAAAATTTATAATAAAAAATAATTCTCTTTTATGGAATCTGGAAATATACTAATAAGGTTTTACTAGTACCGAACAGGTCAAGTTGATTCCGTAATATAGTGTGTGTGTGTGTGTATGTGTGTAATTATATGTTACGAAATAAAACTCGTTTTACGTTAAGGTTAGGTTCCAGCAAAATAGGGTAAAATAAATTTTATCGTTCCTCCCACAATACATGATAAACAAAAGTGTAAAATGTAACTATGTTATTATTTACTTTGTTTTTCATGTTTTCCCCATTTTTTCATTTTTAAGTAATTTTAAAAAGATGAATGTGCAAAATCGTAAATGGACCATCATAAAATGGGACCTACCTGTATAAGGTTTTCTTTTTCTAATCCCATAATCAATTTGAATTACAACGCTAATTGATGTATGTCATATAACTATGACGACTTAATGTTTCCACTCAGTGTTTTCAATGTAAAATATATATATAAAAGAATTATTGAAATATATAAGCTATATATATATATATATATATATATATATATATATATTCCTTAAATATAATTTTTGATTTCTTAAATATAAGTTTTGAAAAGTATAAAGCTGTTTTTTTAGCAATTATGAAAATTTTATTTTATTTTACGTCTTAGTATTTGTATAAACTGAAGCTATTCAGCATTGAGAATTAAAACTTTTACTGATCCAAGACTTCTTAAGTGAATAACAAGAACATACTGGTTATTCTATTCTAAATAATATTTGCCTTAATAAAATTTGATTGGGTGTATGGTGTGTGTTATGTTTGGTTATCAAGAGAAATATTAGAAGGTGAAAAAAATGTTATCATTTTAGATTACAACATTTTAAATTAGTACTCTTAACTCTTAATCTTTTTAAACATCAGGATATTTAATATTGAAAGCAATAAGATAAGATAGGTTCTCAATTATAAAAATATAGTTCAAAGAACGGAATTGTATATGTTTGTGATTTACATTATATTTTATAGTTATAAATTATGTATTTATAATTTTTATCTATCTACATTTGCAGATTTATTAAATAACCGGCCATTATAAAAGAAAATGATATAATAAGAATGCTAAAATGACAGCACAAACGTCAAAATCCGTTAAGATAAATTAGAAAATATAAAATTAATTAATTAAATTTTTTAAATTAATAAAATAAATTAAATTAATTTAATTTTCTGTTTTCTATAATTTTACATTTTTAGAATAAAAAAAGTAAAACAGATATTTAAAAACAGATAGATTTCGAAATTTGATATCTTGAAATTCTGTATATTTGAACAAATTATTATAGTCATTGTAAAGGAGGAAATTCGTATCGTGCATGATGCTATTTAATTACTTACTCTTATCTGCCAAAATCTTTGCTAAATCCGCCACAGTGCACCGACGCGAATAAATTTCGACGTTCGAAATTGCGAACCGTCGCCGTTCGCGTACGGACCGCGACTAAACCAGTCAGACTATAGAGCTTCTCTGACTGCTACCAATGCGAATTTTCACTACCACAATAGCTGGCTGGCGCGAGTGCGTGTATCAAACCGGTACCAGGGTTTGACTATAAGACGACCGCGAGTATTATCAGTGTGCGGTAGAAACGGCTATTATAAAGCAAGCCTTCCCTGAGTGGGTGGCCGTTCGGTTTGCGTTCATATACTTCCGCTAGAGTATCGCCGTAGAGCTAGAGCAGGCTAGAGTCAAAGAAGAATTATATTATAGCTGGTAGCGCAGCACGTGTAAGAGTGGAGAGAAACCAAAGTCGTGACAGTATTTCAGAGTACCCTTTCGTGTCTCGAATGTTGCCTGACTCGCCGACATAGTCACGCGCGATTTCCTCGGAAATTCACTAACAATGTAATCCGTCTTGCACTCTAGACAGGATTACGCAAGAAGATAGGAAACATTTTTCTCTCTCTTTCTCTCTTTATTTATTTTAATTAAAAAATTCTTTAGCTAATAATGAAAAAAATAATTACGTATCTGACCCTTATTTTATTATTATGGCAGGTACGAATTTATTTTTAAGAAACAACTTTATCTCTATTAACGGTAGGACGCGAATAAAACCTCTTTCCTCAATTTATCTAGCAAATAAAGTCTAGTAAATTTTTTGCCATTAAGTTCATTTATGCTTGTTTTAATTAATTATGCTTGTGCATTTTGATAAATTTTTTCAATGGGTTTTTTAACTTTAAGTGCGCACTTTTGCCGAGATCGTCGATTGCATCCTTCCCTCGTACAAAAAACTAGATACCTGGACTTGCACGGTTCTTTGAGATTTATTTTGCCTAACTCAGACAACGCACAGTCTCACTTTCGTCCGTGATACGTAAAGCCTACTATATTGGCTGATTTGACGGAATTCTCTTCTTTTAAAGTATTCTGCCTCAAGCATTCTCTCTCTCTCTCTCTCTCTCTCTCTCTCTCTCTCTCTTTCTCTACCGCGGGTCCTTGAAGGTACCTTTATAACTTCTTGAAGGTCTACATCTCATATGTGGCCAATCTGACCTAATTTCTGATAATACAATCCTTGATGATCTTGAAACGAATCCATTAATACGGAAAACTTGAAAATTATATAATTAGAATCAGTATATAAAATCTAAGTATTTAATTCGAGTAGTATTAAATTTAACCTAGATATTTGATTTTAACTAATATATTGATATTGTTTAAATTTATTATTGCTTAAACAGAACATTATTCGATTTATTAATAACTGTTCAGATAATAATGTGTTAATAAATTCTTTTAATAACAATACAATAACATAATATCTAAAATAATGTGTCAAAAATATGGGACGGTATACAATATAAATGTTTAATTTATTAGAAAAAATCTTTAGTCGCTAAGATTTATTTTACAAAGCTATATACAATTACTACAGTCAAAAAAATAGTCACATAACAATTTTTTGTGACTAAAAAAAATAGTAAAAAAAATTGTTATGTGACCATTCTTTTAGACTGTATAGTAATTATAGCTTTGTAAAATAAATCTTAGCGGCTAAATATCACGCTCGGCTCTTATTGCCTGAATTAATTTGAATATTTTATATACTGGAGTCTCTACATATTTATTATTTATTAACATTATTATTTATTACATGTCTATTATTCTATCAGTCATAATTTATACTAACAAGTAAGAGCAGTCTGCAATACAATACAAGATATTTGCTTTCAGACATTTTCAATAAATATAGCTGGAAATGTCAATGTACAAGTCGCGTTTTACATAAGACAGGCAAGGAAATATTCTTTTGAACACAAAGAACTTTTATGAAAGGATTATTTAATCTGCCTGATTCAATATAAAGCGACTTCTAATATTTTGATTCTTTACTATTAAAAAAAATCCTAATTTGAAAACTATAAATACAAATATGTACAAATAGATTACTATATGAATTAATTAAGTATTTTTATACAATATTATACGTTTTTCGCATCGAGATTTTCGTATTGGCTCTTAATGCTTTTGTTAATTATTCTTTGATAATATGTAAAATAATTATAGTTTTGTCCTTTTAAGGTTTATTTTTATCTAATTACATTTTCAAATTACATTTTTTACAATGCGCCAAGGGTAGAGTATTCATTGATACGCAAAAAATGTTTCACAACGTTTTTACATCACCGGTTGTACTCTGTAACAAGATGCAATCAGTTTCTAAGATCATCACATGATTGTTATCGACCAAGACACAAAGCGTGATTCAGAAAATGTAAAAAAATGCGTCTTTGTGATTGAAAAAGTAAGCTATTCTTCGTCTGCATTTGTGCTACGCTGTACATTGCTCTTACATATGTAGGAGCTTGTATATTTGTATAAAATCCACCGGTATTATCCTTCTTTTTATCTCTTAATCTTTGATCAATGTAAAATAGCGATGTCAGCTTTGCATCGAGACACTTATAATACATTAGTCTTCGTAAATACAAATTCAAAAGAAACGGACGTAATAAAATACAGTAATTTCCATAATACGCAACTTGCTAGAATCTGAAAAAACTAATTTATAACTGGTTGTGAAATATTCAGATCTAAAAGATACAATTATAATTATTAATTATAATTATAATGAGCCTGACCATGCGCACGTAACAAAAAATGCTATCTTGCTGCGTCGAATATTCAACGAAAATCAGTGTCAAGAAGCAAAGCCCTTTGTTACTTTTTTAATTAATTTTTTTAATTAAGATTTTTAAATGTTTTTTATATTATTAATTCTTTAACCTTGCATTCCAATAGTTTGGACATGTGCTTCATAGTAGTAGGTAAAGTGTGTTAATATTTACACTTGTATTTTTCGAGTGTGGATCAAAGGTCATGAGCATTACGATAAGAATTAATTTGTATTGTGCTATCAAAGGTATATAAGATAAAAAAACCTCAGAAGCTTATAAACTTTCTGATAATCTAACGATTTTTTGAAACTTTTTAGCCACTTTTTTGAACCATCTTGAAATTAAATATTTTTCAATAAAAATAATTAATTTGAAGACATTCCTGACAAGTATTTTATTGTACACCGTTTATATTGAAAATTTTACAAACTTGATACAGAGAGATTCTTCTCTGTATGGAAGTCGTCGATTTAATCTACCGGGCAACCTTGAAATCAAAAAGTTGCCCGTTTTATATTGAAGTTATAAATTATATCTTGACGCCCCTGAGAAAAACAAGAATGTCAAAATATAAAAATATAAAAACAAATATAACGAAAAAATCTAAAATTTTTCTTGGAAAGCTAATCTGATGCAGACAAGACTAAACAATAAATAAAACTTTTTATTCCGTAGCACGTTACCACGCAATAAAAATTGTGACTAAAATATTAGAAATATTGACAGGTTAGTAATTTAAAAATAGGTCGATAAAAAATTAAATTTCAGTCTTTGTCAAATTTCAAAGTAATGATGAATTTTGTATCGAGCTAAGAATATGCAGGTAATCTGATTCAGATTTCAATAAAGTATAATTTATACAATCAAATAAAGAAGAGAGAACATTATTCAATAAATTTTTAATTATAAATTTTAATATTATTTTAATTATTGCAGTTAAATTACTGAATAATAGGAATTAAATCTTTCAAGTCTTCAAACTTTAAATCGTTTCATTACAATCAATGATTACTTACTGAGTATTATATGCGTAACTAAATGTAAATTTACAATATTCTGTAATTAATATAAGAAATTAGCATTATACATTTTTGCATAGTTATGTTTCATTAAAATTAATAACTCCAATGTATTATTAATACATTAATTTACGTATTTTGAAACTCATACTACTTTTTACTTACGAATATAATAATCTTTAGAATACGAATAAAAATTAAACTTTGAGACTTGATTATAAAAACGTGATATTAATATTAACTTATTGACACATACTTTAAATTTGAAATATACATGTAATAAAAATGAATAATAACGACTAATAAATTACTTTTTAATAAAAAGTAATTTTATTGATTACACAATTAAAAAGACAAGAAAAAATCAGTCTTATCAATTTATATTGATACGAATCTTGATTAATTTATTTGATTTTATAACATGCTATTTGAATATTGATATATTTTTATATCATTATTATTAAACTATTTTTTTTGTCGTTATATACATATATGTTGTGTAACGAACGCCACCGTTTTAATGCCACCAAATTACTCACATGTCCTTTGACGTATTAAAGATATGTCGTTTATTGTAATTCTTATGTTTTCTTGAAGTTATGCAAAATAATAACGTTGTACGCAAGAATAATTACACGAAACGGTATTATATGACACGTATCGCAGAGTATCTTGTAAGGACTGACAATTTTAATCGGTCACGAGCCATAGGTCTACATGATAAGCTGTATTTGTCTTCTGATAGCAGAATGATTTTACATTTCTTGAGCAAATAACAACGTGTGTATTGTGTATGTATGCAGCCGTAAATGTATAATTACAATCTTAATTCTTATACCAGTTTTTATGAAAATTATATAACAGACTGGTGTGCCTAAAGCACTCTGTGTGTGTGAGCGTTTCAACATACTTTATTTCTTTTGAAACAGTTTACAAATCGATAAATTGTAATAAATAACGCATGCATATATCGCATGTATTATCGAGATCGCGCTTTCGTACATCATATTCCGATTAAACATTTTGATACTATATTTACTCTTCGATAAGAAAGAAAGGGTTATATCGCACAGCCGAGCTCGGGGCAGTGCTCCAATTTATTGATTCTCTTCGGCCGTAACATTTATCGATCGATATGCACACATTAGGTCTCATACGTGCAAACCTCCGAATAGAATGTCAGGTTACTTATTTCCTTCCATCGACATGCTTCTATCCGTTTACAGAACGAAAAATATCGCGATAGCAACGTGCTTTATTTACAAATTAATATTATATATTATATTTCTCATATATCTTTCTGATAAAAATTGCGAGAAATAAGAGAGTTTTGTAATGTTTGACCGTAACCCTTAACAAAATTTTAGAAAACATTGTACTTCTTATTTTTAAAGCAGAAAAAGCACTAATACAACGAAATTTATGTTTTTTTAATGATGAATTATGGTCATTATAAG